CGGGCTCTGATGGTAACTAGCGATCCCGGAGCGTTTGCCGGCTCTTTTGATAGGATTAACGTTCCCTATTTAGTTTCGTGTGTTTGTGTTTGACAAGCATGGCTCGTCTGGGATAGTCCGTGCCCCTGCCGTGGCCGAAGCTACTTCTGCAGTATATCCTACATCTCTCATTTCAAGGGACTCATAATCAATGTAGATACGCGGAATTAATTTTAATTTTTTATATATTTTTTATCTTTTACCTACATAACTTCACTAAATATCGCATGCCTTTCAACTCTTGTTCTTTTTCTGACTTGTAGTCACTTTAACTGTAAATCTCTTTATAAACACAAAACCAAAGAGAGCGTTTGCTGAGCAAATAACACAAAAATCACTTAACAATTTACAGATTACAGTTTACCTGCTACAATTACTTCATTAAGGGTATTTAAACATTTACTGCTAGAAAGTCGCTCAAATGACTAACGCCACTCCCCGACTTGCACGGCCAAGTATTTGTACAGCCCCACCAACGCCCAACGCAGTTCACTATTTACCTTTCTACTGCCAACTTCGCTATAATTCACTTCCTTTTGCGGCATCCGCCTCCGCCTCCGCCTCCGCCTTCGACTCCGCCCACCGTCTTTAGTCGCATGGCCACCAGTTCGCTTTATCTAATTACATCAATGGCCGTGCAACGCCTCAGATATCAAAGTGAAATTGTCCCATCCACTTCCGCTGACTCATTCCGCTTCTGCCGTTTGCTTCTTATTACGTCAATTTCTTTAATTCCGCCAAGAGCTTGGAGCGTCTTTCACTTTCACTTTCACCTTTTGACCAACTAAAAATTTGTTAAAAGAAAAGGCGAGCTAAGCAGATATACATACATACATACACGTGAAGTAATGAAAAAGCGCATCCTTTCGTTGCTTTTTGATCCTTTCGCTTGGTGCGTGTAGTTTCTTTTTGAAAAAGGCTTGCAGCGAAGTTACACAAAATGAGCTGCTTTTAGCACTTAAAAATTCGTTTAATGATACTTTGAAATACAAGGCGCTCTAGTGGCATCTCCTTATGCAGCAATTGATACTCGAAGGTATTCTCTTCATTCATTCACTCTTTCGCTCTTTTATGTGGTGCAAGGATATCTTGTTTGACAGCAGACTCGGCAACAACACCTTTGACCGTTGTTTGTTGGTGGGAGTGTGTAGATTTTCTAAAGAATTTAGTCGGTTAAGCAGTTGTTGTTGTTGTATTTAATTTCATTTATAATTCAGTATTAGCTTTAAATGCTTGGGAGAGAAATTTCAATGCAAAGAGTTGATCCTTTCAAGAGCAGAACATTACCATTGGGTTGAGAGTGAAGAAAAGTTGGCTAAGCAATTTTCAGCTTGGAAAATTGGCAACAGAGCACCAAAGGGGGACTTGAGTTCTTGAAAGAATCTGAAAAACTAAAGCTAAATATTTGCGGCAATAAACAGAACAGCCAAAAGGTTAGAGACCTGAATGAGAGGATTTCCTAAAATCCATTTCAAAACAAAGACTATTCTCTGTAGTCAAAAATAAAAGTCACGCAAGGCAAATTGAGCTTAAAAAAGAAACACTGCTCCAGCCTCAAGATATGCTTAAAGAAATCACTCAGACCCTTCACTAATAGACAAAAATGACCGAGGCGTTCCATTAGCTGTCTCTGATGGATTCAGCATAGCAAATGTACGGCCAAAAAGTAGCAAAACTCGATGTCCAAACTGTGAAGCAATGTCAACACGGCATCGAGTTAACCAAAAAGTATTTTATTTATTTATATAATCCCACCTGCGCGTGGAATATATGAGTTACCATTGGTCCCTCACTGGTGAATTTACGAAAGAGAAGGACCTTATGATGGTGGGACAAGTCTACGGAGCACCGCATTATTGGGCATATCTACCCTGTTGTGTGAAAGATTGAGTTCGATCTAGACGAAGTCTTCCACGTAATTTGTGGTGGTACGAGCTTGATAGTCAGGTTTCAATCCACTGCAGTTCGATATTGCTCATCGTACCAGCTCCTCTTTGGACGCATAGAGTCGTTCGTTGCTGTACGTAGGGAGTTTGATATGGCGTTTCTCAGCTCCCTTATACCAAGTAGCTGATATGTGCAGCCAGAAAGCAGTTGTGAAAGTCGGGTAGAAAACCGTACCGATATCTGCGGTGAATACAGCTTTTCGACGTCGAGTCTTCCCTGTGTTTACTGACGAGCGTTCTTTGTTGTTCAGAGGCGGGTACATATCTAGAACATTGATGTCTTCCGTCTATTATAACATGCCGATTTGGTTGCGCAATTTTCGATCCTCAGAAGAAGGTTCTGTAGCTTTATTAATTTTCTTGCGACGCATAAGGACAACTGTCGAAATCGCTCAACCCGCAATTGCAATTGGGAACGGTTCGGCACGGAGGCTGAATATTTCAACTGCTAAGTCAATGATACTTTCACTGCCTTTGCGTTAAAAGCGTCGTGCATAATTTGGAAATCTTGGCAAGATCAGCGTTAATTCGCTTCAGCTACTCATAAAGGCATGCTTGGTTTTGATTCCATCGTCCTTCTTAAATGTCTCATCCACTTAGAATCCGACACCTGATTCTCTCTTTTATGACCGCTGTATTACATGTCACAAGAACAGCTCATTTGCATCCTGGCCAAGTCCATCACAGTTCTTGGATGGTGATGATCCTACGAGGACAAGGACATCAACCAGCTGGGCAGCGACACTTTTTCACTTACAGGACCGGACATTTGCAGCGGTTGCTTTCTCATGTGAGACTTGTTGAACTTTTATTTTGAGAATACACTTACATAGCGAGCTTTTTGCCTTTAACAAATACTCAAGGCTCGACACGACGAGACCCCAAGAGTAGGAATTATGTAATTATGACTGCATACAAGAAAACCGTACTGCCTATTACACGCTCTACTTGCTTGAAGTTGATGTACTCGGAGCAGATTATATCTTCTAGCGCAAATGTAAAGTCAAAAGAGCGTACTCTGTTGTCGGTACCTGCAGTAGGAGGTACCAGACCCTCCTCATTCTTTGCTTTTGTTATATCTTGAATGGCGCTTGTGCCAGCTTTAACACTTCTGGATATAGTTGAGCAGCTTTCAAAGAAGGGGTGCAGCTGAATGCTGTAAAATCGTGGCTCGTTGTGCTCATCAAACCGGGTGGTGCCGCTTAATCTGGGTATCTTATATTTGGTATTCCTTATCTTAGGCAAAGGTCTTACTCATGTTTTGTTGGATATGCAGAAGACACTTGATCTAAAACTTGCCAATTTGGGAGTGGCTCGAGTAAGATGCTGAAGAATAGCTTCCATCCATTTTCCATTTGCTTAGACATTTGACACTGTGGACTTCAACGAAAATGTCATAATGAAGAGCAGACAATAACACAAGGTATCTACTTATTATACTTCTTCTCTCAAAAATCCTCTAAGCTTAAACAAGTAAAGCTGAATGTGGCATATGGAAAAGTAGAACTAAGTTCACTCCATAGGTGTTCCACGCGACAAGCTGAACCGAACTAAATGGTCCATACACTTTACGATGTCTTAATGTAATTTTATGTGCGATTTGGCAGAAATTAAGGCAAAACTACACGCCGATAAACAACAGAGGGCAACACACGCAAGAGAACTGGAGCGATTAGCAAGCAAATTGAACGATAAGGACACCAAAGGCGGTGGCGGCGGCGGCGGCGGCAGCGGCACAACCTAATAAAATAAATTTCGGCAAAAGACAACTTGTTTTCCAATTTTACAATTTAACAAGTTGAGCACAAATAAATCGAGGAGAAATGGAAAAAATAAAATAAAAAATAAAATAAAAATTTTGCTAAAAAGGCAAGCGAGTCACTGAAATGCCAACAACGAAATAAATTCCTTAAAAAATAAAGTAAAAAAATAAAAATAAAAAGGCAATCGTGCGCACAGCCTGATAGACAGTGGTGAAAATCCTTTCATTTGCTCACACTTCGCTGACAAAAGAGTTAAAGATTGAGTAAAATAGAAAAATGACGCACAAGCACAGATGACATTGGTGAGAGGTGAATAAAAACAGAGACGAAGGAAGGGAGCATTTTTCGGTAAGAAAGCAAATTTTGCGAATTGTGCGCTTGAGACTAATAAAATCAACGACGTGGAACTTCAAAATGATGCTCGGATCGCTAGCTGCTGTCGACGGCGACAATAGAGCGAAGCCTGAATAGTTGTAGTACCAGCCGCTGGCTGCTGTGCTGTTGTTTAGTGTCTGTGTGGCAAGTGAAAGTTGCATGTCGCCGCACATGCTGCCAAGACGCTACAGCCGTGATTCAGCCGGTTGTTGGACGCTTGTGTGGGTTGGATGTTTTAAAAGAAAAAATTATAGAAATGTTTATGAGTCTGTGACCCGCATGGGTGAAAGGGTTCATGCCGTCGTAGGCTCAATGCTTACTGCTTACCGACTACCAGCTTCCACTACAAAGCTGAGCTAAGCAAAGCGGTACTGAGCATTGCGTAGCAGCAGTTCCTTCAAGCAAAGCGCCTTCAGATGCGGGTGCTGGTTGGTGAACAAAGGACTGAGGAGCAGGGGAGATTACTTTTATTGTGATTGTCAATTTTATGAGGGTTTGAGATTATGTATTAATCGCTTTAGTATTGTTGTTGGCGCAATAAAATACCGAAAAGAAAGGAAAAAATACAATACAAGAGAACATTAAGGACATTCCTCATTCGCCATGTGCGCACACCGAAGGGGTTATAGCAACTTAATTCGCAATTGACAATGTAAATGTTGTTTCGACAAAAAAAAATCACTTTCTTCGATTTGCATTTTTATGTACTTTTTGCGCTTTGCTTGCGAGCTAATGTCTTAACTAACGGTTGCTGAGAGCAATATAATTTCATGTAAAGCCACTTTAACTAGCTTTAAAGCCTATAAAAATAACGGTTATATTCACTTATTTCAATTTTTAAAGAGAACTTTTTTTCTTAATTTTCTTAGCATACTTTAAGGCTTAAAGTCAGCAGCCCAACTCATTAAGAGAGCGCTAAAGTATTTTAAACTGCGCGGCATTGAGAAAACAGAAGATGCGCTAAAGAAAATATAACAAAAAGAAAGTGTGTGTGTGAGCGATGTTGTGACTGAAGGGGGCAGTATTTGTTGATGCCAAAGGAGAGAGGTTCCAATTTAAAAACACGCAATATCAATTTTAATTGATTGCGAAGGACAAAGCAGCTGGTGAGTGAGCCATTTTCATTGGGTTGGAATTAAAATGAGACACTGTAAAAATTATAAAAGTTTTATTTAAATTTGCAGTACGTGATACCATACTGAAGATCAAGGGTTCGAATCCTAGCCATGTCGTTTATACAAAATAATAAAAGAAACAATTGAATTGAGTTCACTCCTCGACGGGGAGCTATTTTTGATGGTATTTTTGACATGAAATCCTAAAATCCTATCAACTATTCGGAGGTGGTTTAGAGTAACCTTGGGGATTATGTATTTGTAGAAAAAAGATCAAGAATACACCATAAATTGGATGATGAGTTCGGCGAAAAACGGACTCCAAAACACAAGAAATGAAATATAGTCGCAGAAGTGATTTTGTGGCTTTGAGGCTTGATATTTTTTCCAACAAATGAACAGTTTATACTAAGCCGCCTCCGAGAGGCTAATGGTTTTTATGAGGAGAATTTCATTTTCATCTCAGAAATGCACTCGGAGTGGTTGACATTCCGAGGAGGGGCGGCTGCAATTAGAAAATTTAGCTTAATTTTTTATTTAAATAAACTTTCTGTAGCTTTTGGGCGTTGGTCGTACCCGGATTTGAAATCAGGCCTTCCGAATGGCAGTCTAAATGCTAACCACTCGTCTACCGGGGCCGCCAACAAATATGTATAATAAAAAGGACAGAGTAAAAAGGATCGTCAAATAAGTAATCCGAATTGTAACCCTTGACCTTCCTTCAGCCGAGTTTCCTCTCTGATTTGTGACCTGCTTCATGAACTCTGCATAATTAAAAGACGATATAGGAACTTTAATTTATGCGACCTCAGAGAAAAGCACGCGGAAGTATTGAAACTCCTTACCATTCTTCGGACGAGACTTCGAACCCGATGCGATACATTTGAGGATCAATTCTCGTGGGGAGTTGGGAAAGCCATTTTCCGTGTATGTTGAACGGTGGACTTCATGCCACCTCAGCAGAGATGGGGAAAAATACAAGACAAAGTTCAGTTCAAAAATGCATTTCTGGTACAAAATTGTAATTAATATTATATCCGCTGCTGGTGAGTGAGTTTGCTAAGATCTTCACCTAGTCCTGGCCTTGTACTTCTTACCCGGTGTGTCTGACAACCACAGCGTTAGTCGTGATGAAGGCTCCAGTTACGAGCGATGTCTGGGCGCATCCCTTGGCTCGTTTTCGCCTTCTTTCGAGCACTTTCCGATGTTAGACTTGATTTTCGGTATTCCCCGGTGGAAGAAATTCTTTGTGGACGATTCCACGGCTATCAAAAAATTAAATAATCATCGTTTCACCTTCGACTTGGTCATGCGAGGTTTTTTTTTTTTTTGCGGCGGGTTGTATTAAAAAAAAACCAGCTCTCAACGCCAATGAAAATTCGATCAAGCAGCGTGAAATCGCCCAATTTGGCGCAAAATCTTATCGCGACGCGTTGCTCTTGATTTCGTTTTTCCATTTTCGTGACGAGCGCCACGTACACACGTTTACTCAACACGACACAGCAGGCAAACTAAACAAGCTAGAGCGATGACAAATATATCAATGGAGAGGAGAGGATGGTCAGGTTTACGACAATCGCGGCCATATAATCGGTCTCATTACTCAATGTCGTATAATAGATCACAACGAAACATTGCGCAGAGTTCCGATTAGGTCTAAGAAAATAAATTCCGCATGGTATCGTTTTTGATTAAGATTACAACTTGGCCAGGTGTTTATGATGTTGAGTGGGGTGCTAGAGATTTTTACCTTCTAGAAATCATGCCATTTCCTGCCAGGTCTCACATGGTGGGTGGGAGTTTGATTCATCAGCACCTCAAAAGCCTTCACTCCCACGAAAAGAGATAAGAGAGATGATATAATCTTAAGCTTCAGGTTCCTAGGACAACTTTTCACATTCAATCAAGCAAACTTATCTCGTTTAGGGCAAATATATCTAGAGACGTGAGCTTTCCGCTTATGTTCGGACAACCTTCGGGAAAATTGCCATGGCCACCAAGTAAGTGCGCCAATCTTTAATGATTTTGCTCATGAGAAGATTATAAGAAACCGTATTATATTTTAAAGTGATCGCCAGATGTGTTTTCGGAAACGTACAAATTGAGAAAAAGTCATGAGTTCTTTTAAGCTTGTTAATCTGAGGTGAGTTTAAATACGTCCAGTTATCGGATATGAAAACAAAAATAATGAATATTTTCCAAATGTAATAAACTCTCTCTTCTCAAATATTTTTCCACAGTGTGTCCCTCAGTCTACCCCAAACGCCTTACCACAACCCCAGCTCACTGGATATCATGCTGTCTTAATCATCTTGTCGCCATTAATAAATCAGAGTCATTAAAAATGCAAAAATCCAGCTGAGAAATAAACAAAGAAAATTAAAAATAAAAACAGAAATAAATTAAAAGCAAATGAAGGACGCAAGCTGAGTGCAACTGGAAAAAAGGAGCAATCGAAAGCATAAATAAAGGGAAAAATACGAACATTCGTTAAAAAATCACACCAAACGCGAGAAAAAACGCGGCTCACGGCAAGCGCAAATGGACACAGCGTCAAAAGGTGTTGCGTGGCTGGAAGTTGGGGTGGAAAGAAACGAAAGCAGAGCGAGAGGAAAAAATTATTATAAGCAAAACACACAAAAGGACACTTTACAGCCGAATGAATCTAATTAAAATGTAATTATAATTGTAACCGTTCAACGCGGAAGTAACCCAGGGTAACGCCGCGGACACGCACCACAGTGCGGCAGCTAACGGTGGCGGTGTCAGCATCGTCTTCGATAGATAATCAGCAGCGGAAGCGTGCGTTGGCATGAAAGGTTTTTCTCTTTTAATTTTTGGTTAATTTTTTATTTTTATTATTATTATTTTTTCCGAAAGTGGTTGTAGAAGAAGTGATTAAGTATTTAAAGCAGAAGAAGCGGTAAATAAATCTTAGATTCGTAAGAATTGAATTTTCAAAGAGATGAGGAGTGAGTTTTTAGGAAATTAAAAGAGAATCACGCTGTTAGTACTTTTTGTTCCTACTTTCAGTCTTACTCTTTGTTAATAATATTGAAAATTGCTGGAAATATTTAAGAAGTAAATAATAAAAATCTGCATTCCTCGGACACGACACACAAGCACTCGAAATTTGAAATAATTTTAAAGTTTACTCGTAGTAAATAATTCTAGTTGAATGTCTTGCAGAGCACGTATGCCCATCGATAAGTATGTTATTAATATATATAATTGAAGTTTGAGACCATTATGGTATTACAATATCCTAAAACCAATAAAAACGCGGCATGAATTTCAGAGCGAGAGAGAGAGAGAGACAGAGAGAGAAATTGAGAGAGAGTAAGAGTGAGAGTGAGAGTGAGAGAGAATGAAAGTGTTTGAGCTGGTAAGAGAGAGAATAAAAGTGGCAATGAACCAGTTTCGAAACACGTGAGCCTATCAGGAAATGAAAGCACTCCAATATCGCTGTGGATGATCAGGTGGGCCATTTACAATCGGTCGAAAATCATTGGTAAAGCTTCAAAACTTTGAAAAATTAAGCAAACTAAAGTACACTGGATGTTTGATTCTCCCTTTGATCCAATTCCGTCGAAATAACTCGTTTCCTGGACCTTCCACTAGATGACCTCGGCGACTTAGATTGATTAGGCCGGTACCTAAGCAGGGTTAGCGAACCGCTACAACAACAACAACACTAGATGCCCTCTTACGAAATTTGAAATTTTTATATTTGTCTGTCACGTGAGGGATCTCCTATACTGATGACGCTATGCGATTCTTGAATGGAAAATAAAATTAAGATAGAATGAGTGGGAGAGGAAGAGAGATAGGGGAAGAGGGAGAGGGGAAGAGAGAGAGAGAGAAAGGCTGTCTGAGATATAGGGAAAAAGAACCAATGGCATGTGACTTTCTGTATGTCTCTGACGACCTGGTAGATATGGAACTGTCAGGCAACATTATATGATAATTTGATGAGAGATACCTAAGAGGTGAGTAAAGGAAGGACTGAATTATTGTTCTGATTATCAATAATTAGTCTGGTTTCAGAAAATTTGCAAATCAGAAGGGGCTTTAAAGTTAAACCGAAAGGTTTTCAATTTATTTCTATAAATATTTGTAAGGGTTCCATGCCACTTTCTTAAACAAGGAGAAGGAAAGGTAAGGCATAATTGGTAGCGGGTACTTTTAAAAGGGACTTTTGCGACTCATTCTTCCTGTCCATTGAAAAAGGGGACTAAAATGTAAGAATCTACCTTTATTTAGATCTCTTCAAATTTTGTTGGGCGCTTCAGATGATTTAAATATTTTTAAATAGAGTATGTGGTTCATAAGGCTTCCCCGAGAATTCTAATTATCACATACATATGGGAATAGTTCACACGATTTTTGAGCTTTTTTAATTTCTTCTAACCATCTCCATTTCCATTTCTGTAAGACTGAGCCTTGCATCATCGTTTCAAACGGGTGAAGGCTGAATACTCGCAACAATAATGCTCCAGCCTGTCGAAATCTTATGTGCCCTCAGGTGAGTTCCCTTTAGATCGCTTGTGGCGATAATATCTTAGGGGTAGAGGCATCGTCAGTACAATTATTGAAGCAATCGGTGGTGGCAGCTTCGTCAGCGACGCCAACATGAGCCTGCTTATCCGCCTGGTTCAATGCCTTCTGTAATCGTTACACCCAAGTGATATTCAATTTGTTTTCCCGAAATAGAGAGAAGTCAATGAATTTCAAAGTAACTTGGTTATTGATTCTCATATTAAGCACAGTCACTAGACTTCTATATGGATCTCTACTCTATTACGGATGGTCTTGCCTACGGTCCATTCTTCTCTGTTGGAAAATAGATAAAGTTTAGCGACAGCACTTTCTATCTCTTTCCTCGACAACGGTTGTTCAGTTTTCTCAATGTTCTGAGCAAGGTTCGTAATCATCTGAGGCTTACCCTCACAGAGAACCTTTGGAACCCACTATGTTAAACCTTAATTTATTTTATATTGTCATTTCTATCAGTGTATACTCCAAAATTTATGGAGTAATTTGGGTGAAGGGCTTTGCGCACCCTAATGCCCACTTTTAACTCAATTTCGTAAGGAACTAAAAAGCATACCCACTACATGCTTGCTACTCCCGGACCACTAGCAACACTCAATCTCCATCTCCTCGGCCAGCCAATCGACCTTTTAAGCCACCTCTAAATACCCATGTTACTGGTCATGTAATCGCATTTAGAATTTGTCGGCGCACGCGACGGGACGCACTGTCGGTCATGTGACAAGCAATACAAGAACACGAATACTCGTACAAGACACATATTAAACTGTAGCGAGATTCTCCAAAGAAAAGGAGCAACTCTTGCAAGAGTTCAATTCAGTCATAAACTCAAACTGTGTGCATCGCAAAGTTGGCTTAAGAAAATTGAAAATTCCTCAGCTGCCTGGTTTGGGGGCAAATTCGAAAGGCGAAACATGGAGAGGGAGAGAGATTTAGAAGAGAGTAAACATGGAGTAAAGTGTACACGCTTAGACATAGAGTTGCCAGAATAAAATATTTTGAAACTTAACCTAAATAGTTTTATTTAATTGATTTGAAAAAAAGAAAAAAATTTCTCTGAACCCCCGTATTGAGTAGTAGAAAAGGACTGTTGGATGTGGAAGGAGCTTTAAGCTAAAGTATATTATTTTTTCGAGACTCAAAGATTCTTTAAAAGGAACTACATTTTGAAATCAAATGCCGATTTGATCACGCTTTTAGTCTGTTAGGAAGGACTGGAGTGGCTTACACAATTGAAGCTTGCAAACTGGCTTAACTAAATGATTAAATTAAGGCATCGTCTCTGTCTCAGAGGTGAGGTTGTAGTAGACATTGGTCTTGATGGGCAACGTAGGATTGCCATTTAGTACTGATGAAGGCTGATATCGTCGTCATTCTTGAGATGAAGAATTCTACTAGTGCCCTTAGCGCCATCACCACACTAAATATCATAAGCTTCCAGATTTTTCGTGGCTTCCACTAAACGTAAGCCTGTTTGGGAACTGACGAAAGCCTTCGCTACAGTTAATCATGTAGTAATAATTTAAGGCACTGAGGGCTCCTCCGTCCTCAGAGGTTGAAGAGTTGGATTATGAATTATATTTGTGGTCAACAATTGGCGGCAGGCTCCTTCATGAGGCGAACTCAAAGACATCATCATATATTATATATATAATTGGCGCTTTGTAACCGCTGAAGCGATTTTCGACTGAGGAGGGGCCTGCGAATGGCTGATGGGTTTTTTATGAGGAGCGTTTATTTCATGCCATAAATACACTATAAACACACTCAGAGGTGTCTACATTCCCTGCCAAGGGCCGACCGCAATTAGAAGATTTAATTTTCTATAATTTTTGGATGTTAGTCATACAAGGACATGAACCCGGGTTTTCCGAATGGCAGTATGCAATGCTGACATCATCATACTCTCTGCTATACAGTAAATGACAGGCATTTAATGGCAACGGAGTACTCTAAATACTCCCTCTCCGAGAAGGCCGTGGTGAAGCGTTACGCTCCGTAAGAAAATATAACGGTATTTAAAGACAGTGAGGAACTTTTTGCTCTCTCCTCTATCTTCAGAAAGCCTTACGAACACATGAGATTGGAACTAATCAACCGAACTACCCGCAGTGCATTATAACGCAACTCCACTGACTCGATAGGTGAGCACTTAAACGTCCTTCACATAAGTATAAGTTACAATGAATGCATTGGAGAGAAAGAAAGCAGTATGTACCTCACAATATTGTGGCTGGAGGCAAAGTGACCTATGTGGACGAGATGTTAAGAGGTGTAAGCGAAACGCGACACATTTGTTGGATGGACAAGAGAGAGAGAGAGAGAGAGAGAGAGAGAGAGAGAAAGAGAGAAAGAGAGAGAGAGAGAGAGAGAGAGAAAGAGAGAGAGAGATTAAATTGCATCATTCTGAAGAGCATATATTCCAGCTGGACCCGAGGAATGAGGGCGATGATTTGTTTCTTGACGCATAGAGCAAACCGAGTTCAGAGAAGAAACCGTCTAACCGAAAGTACTCTCTCTATAAGTACTTTATATATATAAAAAAATATAAAAATGTGGCAACACTGGCTATATAGTTATTGTAGA